GTAACTCAGGGGCTTCCGGGATTCGCTCGGACTTTGGGGCGTGCCCCCATCGCCCCCGGGGCAGGCGGCTCCCGCGCACCGACGGCCGCCGGAGGCCGCGGGGCGGCACGGGCAGGCGCGGCCGCCGTATTCCCGGCCGCGGTATTCCCGGCCTTGTCCTTGCCCTGCCCCGCCGGGGCAAGGCCCGGAGTTCGCGCTGGCCAGGCCCGGGCCAGCATCCCCGCCTCGGGGGTCCCTGAGCGGGACCAGCCCGGCCGCGGACACCGGTCCAAGGACCGGGGTGCGAGCTCTGGGCCGGGCCGGGCACGGCTTTGCCGCGCCGCCCTGCCCGCCCTGCCGGGGCGCGTGGGAGAGCGGGTGGGAAGAGTGTCTGCATCCCGCTGCGTGGTTTTGGGTGGGGACGCGAGGGGACACGCTGCCTGTGGCCGCACCGAAGCCGGGGAGGTCACCACAGCAGCTCCCACCGGAACGGACATCTGGACAGGGACCCTCGGGATGGGGCGCTGGGAGTGGAATTCGTGCAGGGGGGGACTGGCCCCTATCGGGGAAAGGCCTGCGTCCCCACCGTGTCCCGGTTGGAGCAGCTAACCAGGCAAGGGAAACCCTGCCCCATCCTCTGCCTGTTCCGTGCCGGATCCTACCCGCGCCCCTGCAAGCTCCCCGTCCCTTTGAATCTGCCGGCAGGATGTCTACATGCTTCTGCCGTGCCTTCATCGCTGGCTGTTAGACCCATATTTGGTAGCAATAATTGTTTACTCCCTTCTTCTCTCTCCCGGAGCCTCGCTGCTCAGAAGGGGAGGGGACATATTTTTCGGATTTCTATCTTTATCAGAACCTGTGAGTTGCCCAGTAAAGGGTTCGAACCCCACATCTCCCCCCACAGAATGTGGGGTGAAACGCCCCAAGTGCTAAATGAGCCGTTCATGGTGCGTGAGGAGCACCAGCCAAGCATGCAAGTTGCTGAACAGCAGCAGAAGGAATTTGGTGCTTCCCGAAGTGACACGTCCCAGCAGATTTAGGGAAGGGGAGTGAGAAAGTCGAGTAAGACTGAATGGGGACCTGTGGGGCACCCTTGTTTCCAGAACTGAGCTTTGCTGGCTTCTGGGTGGAAAAGACCCCAAAAACTCAGCCCTGTTCTCCTCTTGCTTTCCCCTTTCTGCCTGTCCGGGAGTGCAGTGCTGAGCAAGTCGCTTGCCGTGGGAAGCATATGTGCCTGGATCAGGGTACCTAGTGGTTTCCACAGGTTGTGAGAGCACCCAGTGCACCCCAGCGCCTGCTTTTGGGGTCCTGTGCCAGAGGCCCAGCTCACTAAGAACTCAGCAGAGGCTGTGGCTGGAGTCCCCCTTGTTCCCATGCCTGCCTTGGCAGTGCGCAGTCTGGATGTGCCACAATTTTTGCTCCATCCATTTGGAGGGCAGGGGATGTCCAACAGGAGTAGACAGGCCTGAGGGTGCATGTGAAACATGGGCAGTTAAAAGCCAGAGCTGGTTCAGCTCATTGCAAGTGAGCAGGCAGGAGGTGGTGGCTGTGATCCCCCAGCCCAGCTGCCTGTTGGCTGCCCATTTCCCACGCAGAGCAGGGCTGCTTCCCTGTGAGGGTGAGAGGATGCTCCTGTCCCAGCCATGGGTGACAGCTGAGTGGTCACAGGGGTGCTGTGTCTGGCCTTGCCAGCCGCTCATGCTCCCCAGGAGCAAGCTTGGCCTCAGCAGAAGAGAAGAAACTGCTTTCCCATCTGACATGTACGTGCAGCTGGGAAAGAGGAACTGGGCAGAGCGTGTGGCACCATCGCCAGCTGGGACTGCTGGCTCAGCCTTCCCTTTCCCGTGTCTGCCCCCAGTGCCTTCTGTGTCTGTGTGTACTGGTCCCATACTGGGGAACCCAGCTAGAGCCTGGTCCAGCTTCTTACCAGCTTAATTTTGACCCAGTTGATTGTGCGGATGCCAACATACCAGCCAAGCCACTGCTGACAGGCATTGCATTTTGGTGGCTCGCTACCTGCCTGGCTGTGCCAGTGGCCACAGTGATGGGGCCCTATGTCTGTGGAAAACCCCGGCACTGTGGTGGTTTGCAGCTAATAAAGCTTTCTGCAGTCCACTGGTGGTCAGGAGTGGGGTCTTTCCCAGGAGAAATTGGGTATTGCTGTAAAGAAAAAAAAAAAACAACCCTCAAACCTCATCCGGAGTATCCCTTAGAAAGGGCATATTAAAAATGGCAAAATTGTTACATCTGAAGATTTTTCAGCTTGTTCTAGAAACTCGCCATGAGCGTTCCAGCAGGCTGCAGCTGAATTTTTGTTGATTTTTTTTTTTTTTTGGTCATTTTAAGACACAAACCCTCCTCTGTAGCTGTTACTGCAGCACTGAACTCGGCCGACACAAATATAGCAGTTACATCACGTGACGGAAAACTCGCTGTCAGTGGTCCCAGCAGAGACACAGTGGCTCCTCAGGCCGGCACAGTGCTGCCTGCACTGACCCTGCCTGTGCTGACCCTGTCCTTGCACCTCCAACACTGCTTTGGTTTTGCTCACCTGTTGTGGGGTGAGACGCGAGGAAGCCGCAACAACTCCTCAGGGAAGTGGTGGGACCCCACCAAGGCCTCCTTCCCACCCCCTCATTGTTTTGGGATCAGCTGAGGAACGTGCCTGTGGTTCAAAGGGTTGCACTCAGCTTGGTGTAAAATGCAGAAGTGTGTTAATCCAGCTGCTCCAGTGCCCTTTGCATAGTGATAACTGATTGCAAATGGATGTGCTTGCTCTGGAGGTGAGACAGCACAGAAATCTGGTGTGTGTTCATCAAGACTTGGTTTGTTTGGGGTTTTTTGGTTTTTTACTTTCCAGGGGGACAGCTTGAATTTCGCTGTCCTTTTCCTTTATTATTCTGGTTTGTGCTGCCAGGCTCCCACGCTGTCTCATCCGTTATGTCTAGTCCAGCTTTTCCTTCCCCACACGGTTCCCAGCAGGGAGAGGTCTGCAGGGGTTGAGTCCTGAATTGGTGCCCTCGGAGCAGGCAGAGGATTTGCAAACCTCATGTGATTAATTGCTGACAAATCTCTCCAGGGTTTCAGGAGGTGTCCTTAATGCAGCAGGGAGCATTTCGGCTTTAGACGCTGCTGTCAGCAAAGTTCAGCTGCTGGAGCCTGAACTTTTTCCACAGAATATGGGAATTAAAGAGAACCATCTACCCTTTCTCTGAGGTCTTCCTTGATGTTGTCAGCATCTTCCCTGCCTAGCTCTGTTGTTTATGTAAGAGTTTGGGAGTGGGAAGGCTTGAGCAGTCACCTTCCCCATCTTCCTGTGAGGTCTTGGAAAGCACAATGGCCCTTGTGAAGGGTGTGCTAAGGGGTACCAGTGGTGCAGTGCTGAATTTTGGGTGACTTTGGGAAGGCAAGAAGAGGATGCAGAAATGGCAGCCTGGCTCCTCTCAGTTCCTCTCTTACTGTCCGGCGTCCTCCCCTCCCCTTCCTCTATGGTCTCTGACCTTGTCGTGGCAGTGGCATGTTCTCCTTTTCCTGCAGAGAGATGGAAAGCAGCTTTATACTCAACTTGAGAATATTTTTAGATATAGAGAAGTTGGCCTGGTGACCGCAGCAGCCCGCCCTGCATATAAAATACTTGGAAAACCCTTTCCACGACAGGGTGTTCCTCGTTTGTTCAGCTCACAGTTTTGCTGGTGCTTCTGGAGAGATGGCAATGGCATGGGCGGGTGGCTCTGCCACCTCGTTCCCTGTGCCGATGGGCTCCCTCGCTCCAGACCCGAAATGCATTTCATTCCTCAGCAGCGGAGACAGTGGGGGCCACGGGCCTCCGCAGAAACATTGCAGAACGGCTCAGGAATGCAGAGCTGGAGCGGCTCCATGTGCTGGCGGAGGCGGCACGCTCCTCAGTCCCTGCCTCCCACCCCGCACCACCAGCATGGCTCCATGGCTCTGCAGGAGCAGAGCCCCTGCCCTCTGACTCACTCCTGGCCAAAACTGGATGCAGATCCTGCCCCTAGTCAGCTCAGGTCGGTGTTTGGGAACAGCCTCCACTGATGTACCCCATTCCGAGGGACGAATTGGCAGCACTGGGCAGGGATGCACAGACTCACTGTGGGCTGCTGCAGTGCAAGGAAGGCTGCCAGCACATTTTGCCCAAGAACCTTCCCAGGCCAAGCTGAGGATGCACGATAAGCTTTCCCTGACAGCCTTAATAGGAAGCCTGGTAGGAGCAAATCAATCTAAAAGAGAACACGCAGATGTGGTGCATCCCACACTGTATCCTCCCACCACTGGGGTTTAAGGACAAGGCAGCTTGGGTCAGCAGAGCAGGGGGACTCCTCCCAGTGAGCAGTCTCTGAGAGAGAGGAAAAGGCATGTCACTGCTGGAGAGCATCAGGTCGGGGCCAGATGGGGATTGGGAATGCGAG